TAACTATTAGAAATATCTAAGAATTAGATATATTTAAATAACTGTAGTTTTGTGATAGTGAATGATGTTACTGTAGTTGAAATAGTTCATTTAAGTGTTAACTTTATTGTTGTTGTAGCTTAAAGAGAAACCAAAATGCTATTTTCATTATAGTAATTTCAAACTGTTCTTTTGTTCCCCCAAAAGCTATCATTAGTGTGCCAAATGACATTGAATGACTGGATTGTTTTGAATAACTGAAAATGTCATGAGATCAGAGCTTGTGCTTGTTATTGGTGGTTTTTATTTGTATTTTTCCCATAGTTGGAAGGGCACAATATCTTCTCCACCCTGAGCTCCAGTGAATATGAACAGGTGCTCGAGATCATCCGCAAAGCCATCATTGCTACAGACCTTGCTTTGTACTTTGGAAACAGGAAACAGTTGGAAGAGATGCACCAGTCCGGATTGCTAAACCTTAATAATCAATCACATAGGTAACAACAATTTTAAAAAGCTTAGAAGCCCAGGATGTGTTATCTGGAATAAATTGATATTTAAGAAAAGAAATGTAATTTGGCATAAATTTATGTTTGAAAAGAGAAATGTAAAATATTATGTTTTTGTTTTACATGCATTTTATTTATATTCACTTTAGACATTTAATTGTTTGACAAAATTGATGATGATGTAGTATGAGGGATAATTAAAATACAAATTGGAATCTAAACTAGTCATGCAAAAATTGGCACTTTTAAAGGGAAAGGCTGGTAATTCATTCTCCCAAGACCCCAAGAGGTCCCTTCTTAAATTTATTGCAGTCCAGAGTTTGGTCATTGGCATCAGATACTCATTAGCAAATGAAAATGGATTTATTTTTCTGAATCCAAATCCTATTAACCAAGCTAATGTGATTGATGTAAAACCCGGAATTCCATTTTATTGATCTACAGACATGTAGCGTGGTCACAAGGATCAGAATGTTGGCATTTCATGTGGTCCGAATCATTTAGGAAGCCAAGTAGCCATCGAAAGTTTGTTTCAAGAACATGGAATTAGAACAAGGACAATTAGATTAATTAAATGTTCTAGTGGCAACAGAGTAAATAAGTCTGATGCCTTTTTGTCCAAGAAGGAGTGTCTTGCCTAGTGGATTCAGAAATATGTCAGGTATGTTCATTATGAACCTGTGCACCCATCTGTATCTTAGATCCAAGTTCACTGGCTAACCTGCCATCTCCCCTTGACAGTTCATAAGTAGTGCCACCAGCTTTCATTGCTTTGACTTTCCTGTTACTATTTCCATGTCTGACTAACTCCATCTTATGTGATGCCGTCTTTTTCTTTAGACTTGTCAACATTCCTTCACTGGTTCTATCCTAGTGTTGCTAAACTTGTATTTATTCTCTTTGTTCAGGCACTTTGCGTATCTCCTCTATAATTCGTTAAGTGCTGATCTTAACATTTCTACTCTAAAAGAAAGGCTCTGTTTTCAAGATCTTAGAAGCAATTCATGCAGGTACCCCAAACACAAAATATTAGTTTTACAAATGAATGTAGATATAAAGTTTATGTCTTCAAGAGTAAATATCATTTGTATAATG